TAACAATGGCTATGAGTGATAGTGTTGACGAAATGGAATTCTTCCAATAACAAATGCTGAAGGGTGTGACTCAAGACTGTAGCATTAGATTATTATATTTAAAAGGACAAATGGTTTCTTTGGGCAAATATTTATGCGGGATAGATCTATTGTTGCCATTAGGTGTGGTAGCCAAAAGGGACTTCTGGCTATGCTTCCCATTGTTAGATACAGGGGACTAGTCAGTAAGGGAAGTCTGTTGCCAACAGGCCTTGCTTATGGGCTTCCCTGAGGCATGGAGTGGATGCTGTTGGAAACAGGATGTTGGGCAGGATAGACAGGAGATTTGATCCAGTATGTCTGTTAGTAAGGAAGGCTTACTTTTAGATATTTGCCTCTTGCTTGGAAACTAAGCCCAGTCAATATACCAATCAAACTGTAAGCCCAGTTTATGAGAGGTTTATGCTGGGGGGTTGTGTAGCTCAGTCATAGAGCATCAGCTTTGCATACAGAAGGTCCCATGTTCAATCCCTGTCATCTCCAGTTAGTGGCAGAGCATCTGTTTGGCATGTAGAAGGCCACAGGTTCAATTCCTGGCATCTCCAGTTAAAAGGATCAGGTAATAGGTGATGTAAAAGACTTCAGCTGAGAGGCTGGAGAGCTGCTGCCATTCTGAGTAAACATACTGACCTTGATGGACAAATGGCCTAATTCAGCGTAAGTCAGCTTCATATGTCCGTACGTCCCTTGCATGGATAATGACAGAAGCTGTAGATAGATGGTAATTTTTCGGAGACCTGAAGGACATTTGATAAAGTCATCACTACCCAGAAGTCCCTTTGTTCATATTTGCTTCCACAATAGATATATTTTTTTCTTCCTAGCCTGTTACAGTCTCTGGTCAAATGTGTTTCACAGGCTCCACAGTGTATTAATGCTTTGTGCAGAGTTTAGCTGTGTCACCATCCCCTGCCACAAGGGGGCTCACAATCTTAAAGACAGAGCTGGAGGCAGGAAAGCAGAGGAGGACAGTAGAGTAGAACAGAGGTAAGGGAAGGAGAAAACTAATAGATGCTGGAGTATGTAGGAAAGGAAAAGCTATTGTGGTTTCTGAGAGGGTTTGCTGGCAATAAATGAAGTGGGAATATACGAGAATGCTCAAGAAGGTGCAGGTGGGAGGGTGAACAACAATGCATTAATAGGACATGTTGTGAGAAGGGCCTAAAAGGGAATAATATTTACAAGGATCTTTGTTTGCTACAACTCTCCGGTGGCACAGGCAATCTGATTTGTAAATTGTGCTATGTACTGACCATAGAATTCAGCATCCTAAGAATTCCAGGTTTCTTTCTTTCTTTTTTAAAGGGATTGAGTTTCTAGCTCTTATGGTTGTACAGATATGGTAAACTATATATAGGTAAAGGTAAAGGTTCCCTTGCTCGAAAGCCAGTCGAATCCGACTCTAGGGTTGCGGTGCTCATCTCCATTTCAAAGCCGAAGAGCCAGCGCTGCCTGAAGACGTTTCCGTGGTCATGTGGCCGGCATGACTAAACACCAAGGCGCACAGAACGCTGTTACCTTCCCACCGAAGTGGTCCCTATTTATCTACTTGCAATTTCTTGCTTTCGAACTGCTAGGTTGGCAGGAGCTGGAACTAGAGACAGGAGCTCACCCTGTCTTGCGGCACCCGGGTCTTGAACCACTGAACTACTGACCTTCCACAGCCTGCAGTTCAGCGTCTTAACCACTATATATAGAAAGCAACAAAATGCTAAATAGGATTTCCAGTCTTGAGAGTGCAACTTCAGCACTGCTTTTCTCTTTCTTTCCCTTCATGATGAAGCAGGCGCAGAATGAATTGTGTAAAAATAAGAGAAACTTTGCAAATTGCCATAATTTACACAGGCTGTAGAATTGAGCTTTTCTTGGTGCAAATAGGGTTGCTAACTGCTAGGTGCTGTTTGGAGATCTCCGCTATTACAATTGATCCCCAGAAGATAGAGGTCAGTTCCCCTGGAGAAAATGGCTGCTTTGGAGGATGGACTCTGTGGTATTACATTCCAATGAGGTCCTTCCCTTCCCCAAACCCTGCCTTCCCCAGGCTCTGCCCTCAAAATCTCCAGGTATTTCCTGACCCAGAGTTGGCAACCCTCAGTAGAAGCTAACCTGGGAAGGATATTTGGTTATTACTTTTCCAGCGCACACATATCTGGGGTGCTTCCGAAATCAGCCTTCCTATAGCACACAACCTCTGTCAAGGCCTGATGGCTTCAGGTGCTGACTACAATGATTCATTGATACTGAAACTATGAATCTCTGTAATCATCCACTCGATGCTTCCATCGGCCACAACTTTTCCTTAAGAAAAATCTGGTCCCTGTATGCGGTCAGGGCAGAACTTGAGATAGGTTGGAATGTGGAACGTATTGGACTCTAGAATGAACAGATCTCAAAGCAAAAGCTTTCGTTTTACTCTTGTGGATGATGCTGGATAGATAAGTTATGCTGAGCCACATTGTTACACCTTCAAACTATGCCAACGGAGCTACTTACTGGATGGTACTCAAAAATACCATAGGAACAACACCTTTGTATATGCGGAAGTTCGGTGGAAGACCTTCTTCACTATGTTTTGGTTTGCCCTTTATACTTGGAGCCTAGAAACAAATTTCTGGTTATGGCATTAGAGGCTTCTCTTTCTGACTCTGACAAAGTAATATTTATGCTGTCAGATGTGGATTCCCTTGTCTCCTACAGAATGGCACTCTTTGCGCTAGCTGCTAGGAAAATCAGAGCAAATGCGGTTTCTAAGAAAGCAGTCAAATGATATGATTTTTGTGTCTGAATGAGAATTTTTAGAGACGGATGTTATATCAGAAATTTTAAAATTCTAGGGCTGTAAATATGTTTTAACTTGTAAAGGCCAATGGCCATATACAATAAACTTTATTATCTACCGCTACTGGGGATCTAGGGTAGGGTGAGGGAGTTATATAGGACAGTGGGTGGAAGAGCAACATACTACTCCCAAGTTGCTCAGTTGAATGGTGGTATGGATGTTTGCTACAGAGGAGTTCCTGAGCTCAGGAACTTGGCAGCATAGTGTGCATACGCTGTAAACAAAAATGAGAAAGTGATGGTGCAGAGGGTACAGAGGAGAGCGACGAGGATGATCGTAGGCCTGGAGACCGAGCACTATGAGGAAAGGCTGAGGGACCTGGGAATGTTCAGTCTGGAGAAGAGGAGGTTGAGGGGGGACATGATTGCTCTCTTCAAGTATTTGAAGGGCTGTCACTTAGGGGAGGGCAGGGAGCTGTTCCTGTGGGCAGCAGAGGATAGGACTTGCAAGAATGGGTTTAAATTAAGGGTGGGAAGATACCAGCTGGATCTTAGGAAAAACTTTCTTACATTAAGAGTCGTGCGACAGTGGAATCAGCTGCCTAGGGAGGTGGTGAGCTCCCCCTCACTGGCAGTCTTTAAGCAGCAGCTGGACAAACACTTGTCAGGGATGCTCTGGGCTGATCCTGTATTGAGCAGGGGGTTGAACTAGGTGGCTTGTATGGCCCCTTCCAACTCTGTGATTCTATTGATTCTATGGCACTGATTTTTACTTTAAAATCCCAGTCTGTCTTGTAACACACCTGGCAGCCAGCTCCAAATCCTGGCTTTCACACAGAAAATTTGGCAAATGGACTGGGGATAAAACAAACAACAAATTTTTGAAATGTCTGTAGCAACAGCAGCAGTACACAAACTCCTATAAAACAAATCATATTTATAATAACAGACGACAGCAGGAAAGAAAAAAATAAATGCAAAACCCCCACCAGTCTATAATCTGTATAATTTTAGGCAGCTGTTTTATACAATTTTATCGGGCACTGAGTCTGCAGTCCCAAACCACACCTGTTTGGCAGCATGTCCCACTGAGTTTAGTGAGATTTACATGCTGTGGAATGGAATGAACATTCTAAATTTGGGAGTCATTCTTCCATGTAAACAGGCCTAAACAACAGAGATTTTCTAATTGCTACAGTTGCAAACGCACAGCTGGCTTGCCTCTCTTTGCAATGGTTCTGTTACTGGTTTGCTATAGCTACCATCTTCTTTTACTTCATTGTCATATACCTTGTAACCCATGTTCGGTATTGTTTATGGTATACTTTTGGTTTAGCGTGTCGTTAGCATTGTTCTCTAATTCTATAATCCTAGTCCTGTTGCATTGTTCATTGATTGTTTTATGCTGTTTGATTACATTGCTTTAAAGTCCTATAATTTGCCTTGAGTCTTAGCAAGAATAGTGGACTATAAATTAAGTAAGCAAGTAAATAAATATAACATGTTACTAAATAAAGAATGAATTGCATTAAGAAAAACCAACAGGGATGGATAATGAAGTAGAGAAGCTTGAAATCATTGGTGAACATAAAATTCCCATGTGGGTAAATTTCCTGTTGTTATGCTGAACAATACTATTCATATATGTTGCTTCATGATATTCTAGAGCCCAAGTTTTGTGGATTCATACAACATTTTTTCAGATCAAGAGAGGCCAGGGAAAAGTATCAGCAAAATGTCTTGAAGCCCGGAACTTACGTCTGCCAACCTATGTTCAACATGCTAGATAAACTGAGCCTCGCATAATTCATATTGGCTGGTTGAAAATAGGGTTTCCAGCACTGGATTGGGGAATCCTATGAGATTTGCGGGTGAAGCCTGGGGAGGGTGGGGTTTGAGGAGGGGAAGGACCTTAGCGGGGCGTAATGTCGCAGAGTCCACCCTCCAGTGCAGACATTTTGTCTAGCAGAACCAAACTCTGTCGTCTGGAGATCAGTTGCAATTCCAAGAGATCTCCAGTTTGCACCTGGAGGCTGGTAACCCTAGTTGAAAACCTATCTTATATGAAACCAAAAGTTTATAAGGTTAAAAAGAAGCCCTTATAGCTTTTGTTATGCATTGGACATAGATTGCTAAAACCCCAAAGATATACCTTAAATTGTGTTCTTTTTCTCCACCCCCAGACTTCAGAATATTCAGCCATGGCGTCATTAGCTGGTGGATTAGAAGATATGAAGGCCAATTTATCAAGCCCTGCTTCAACAGATATAGGAGCCAGTGTTCCAGGACCACAGTCGTATCCTATTGTGACAGGTAAGAAATGCTTGATGTTGTGACTAGAGAGTATATTAAAAACTGAGATGTTTGGGAAAATATGTCATACTTGTGGCAATAGACTATGTCTGCATTGGCGTATTACTACAAGAGGCATTGCAATTCTTTCAGATTTTTTTTTGCTTTTGACATTTGAACTCTGGAACTAAGGTATGCAAGTCCCTAAAGCACCTTGTCCCTGATACTGTAGGGAACACCTTTTCCTTCATGTGCTTCCAGGTTTTTTCACATTGGCTAAAGCCACTCTTTTCTCTGTCACAGTATATACAGACGGATCTTGGGTGTGCTCATGTTATCAAATGTGCTGTGTTAAAGCTAGACCTGTGTGGGGAGTGCTTCCTCATATACTTTCTTCGAATTGGTGAAGATTTTCATGTTTTTAAAAGCTTTCCCCTGGCTTTGTGTTGATAGTGGTTAATTTCTTAATTATGTTGAGTTTCTAGCAGTTGCTTTTCAAATATATGTCATATATTATATTATATTATATTATCCATCATATTGTACTGGATGTTCTTGATATCTAAGTTGGCTTTGGATACTTTGAGCAGAAAAGCACCCAGCGGATTCAAGTATAAATCAATTAAAATAAATGGTCGTCAAGTTCAAGTCCTACTGTCAATTTGGTATAAATTAATGACTTCTGTGGATGTACCGTTGATTGCAACAGGAGAGAGTTTGCCTCTGTTCTCCTTTCTCTCCTACCAGTATGTCCTAAATATACACAATACACACAGTAGAAATTTGGCACACTTTCTTTTTCTTTTTTGTTAGGCATCCCGAACAATGATGAAGATAAGGAGAATTTAATTAGCCGTGTTTTAAACTGGTTTATTTCATTGCATGGATTCAGAGGAAGATAATAGCTGCAGGACAGAGCCAAAGGTTGCCTGTCCTAGGCAGATAATGAACTAGGAAGAGCTCTGTTCATGAGTAGGGGGAGATACATCTATATCTATATAACTTTTCTTTGTTACTTATGGTCATAAGTCTGCATTTATCATTAGTAGAATGCATTTATTTGTCAGGGGAAGCTAAAATACTAAAACCTTTCTGGTGTCAAAGGGGTTTTCTCTTTAAATGCCATGGGGAATTGGGGGCTAGTGGTTATGTTATAGATTCAGAGAGACATGGGAATGCACAAGGGGCACCATAATCGACTGAAATGTTAATTGAGGATTAATTAATTGAAAAGAGTTAATCAATACCTGTGAATAATGGTGAATCTTTATGTTAAATAAAACTGGGCATAAATGGCACGATCTTCTCACTGCTGTTCTTTTTACATTCATTATACCTTCCTGTTGTTTGCATTTGACTTTTCCCTTTGTGATTGCTTTTTTGAATTTTGATTATTAATACTTTGTTCGGGAAGAGCCAAAGCTTTGAACAGTGTGACAAATATTTGTGTTTCAGTTGGACTTGGATGCACATGCACACACACAAGTACAAACACACATGGCAAAAGCACGGTCTCTACTCTTTCTTTCGGTGCAATCCTAAGTGGAGTTAACACCTTTCTAAGTCCATTGGTATCAATAGGCTTAGAAGGATGTAACTCTGTTTAGGATTCGTCTCTTTGTCTCTCATGGAAGTTGGTGGGTTTGCACATTCTTAAGTGGGTGCGATATGTGGCACAGAAGATCAGCTTTATATAGAAGCCAGCATTGAAAGCAAAGGAATCTACTTCCCTGAAATTTCCTTGGTCCAGTCACAAAGATCCGCCTAATTGGTGATCTGTGCTGTGAGGGTCTTTACTTAGGTGTTCTATATGAAGCCAGTCTTGCCTGAAAGTGTATGTGTGTGGGGTGTACAAAGACTGCACTTTGCATAGCACATCTATACCAGATGTGCAGGAAGGTTGCTGGTCTGATATCCCCCTTCTACAACAATCTTGTTCTGCATGCAGAATGACACAATTGTAATTTCATAAATTTATTTAGGTTGTATTGAATTGTTTCCTCCATCTTCTGCAGTCTTGTTTCTTTGGATAGTCTACCCACGCCAATAACAATCTGGTGAAGTCAGAATTTCCACTAATTTTAACAGTTCTTGATCTCAATAGGACTTAATTACTATCATCATGATCTATATGAAATACATTTAGGGATTTCTTTTGTGGTGGTTGTGGTGATGATACTGATGAATGTTGTGGCAGGGATTGGTTCAATTGCTTGCCCATCTTAGAGAGGCTGGATGGAAACAAGGACCACTGGTTCTACTGCCTGCCAGTCACAAGGGTTGAGCCATTCAGATCCTAGGGAGGGGAAAGGGCAGAATGAAACAGGGAAAATGTAGGGCCTAAGAGAGGAAGCTTGAATGGGGGGTTTCTGCAGATAAATGAAGAGGGAAAGACAACAGGGCAAATATTTCGAGTGCAAGGAAAATTGGAAGAGAGGATAAGAAGAGAGAAGTCACATGACTGAAGTTCACATACTGATAGCAATTGCAATTTATATCCAGACTACAGAGATCAGTTCCCTTGGAGAAAACTGATGTTTTGAAGGGTGGACTCTCTGGCACTGTACCCCACTAAAGTCTGTGTCCTCCCCAGGCTCCACTCCCAAATCTCCAGGAGTTTCTCAACTTGGATCTGCAACACTATCCCCTCAACTTCCTTCCAGAAGCCAGGGGGGATCTGGCAATCTTACATACTGATTTCAATAAACAAATATTTATCTGTAGTTAATTTATATTGCATTGATTTTAGAGAATATCACTGCCTCTAAAAGCTTACAAGACTGAGAGAATCTAAGAATGTTTGTGGATATCTTAGTCCCTAAATTATTATTGTATGATTCCATTCCACTTCAGTGATGAGCCATTTTCAGTAGGGTTTACTGGCAAGTAAACACACATGAGATTGTGGCCTTAATGAAACCACATGTTTATAATATGTTTTTAAAGTGTGTGTGTGTGTGTGTATGGCAAGGAGCCCTTTTTACTACTGCCAGAGTTTCAGAAATGAAAAAAAAAATAGTATTTTAGGATTTACAACTGATCTAAGAATTCTTAGTTTGTCAGTTATCTGTTAATGTATTATTCCCTAAGTTATCCCTAAGTTATCAGTTTTGTACTTTTTTAAGAGCTAGATACGAGTCCTTTTTTAAGAGCTAGATTCGAGTCCAGTAGTAGCTTAGAGACCAACAAGATACTCAAGGCATAATCTTTTGAGAGTTAAATCTCCCTTCATTAAATGCTAGTACTTTTAAAAAGATATTGAAGAATAAGGCAACTTACTTTGTAATAAAACAAAACCTGTTACACATGAAAGCTATCTAATATTTTACTTACTGTTTTCCACCCCCAAATTCAACACTGGAGCTAGGGTTGCCAAGTTGATTTTTGCTGGGAGCGGGGGGCTCCCGGCCGGCGTCAGTTGTGTGCGCGTCAGTTGTGTGTGCGTCACCCGGAAGTGACGTGACGACGCCAGGCATGGTGCAGCTCAGAGAAGGATGGCCGTGCCCCCCCCCAGCGTGCCCGGTGTGGTCGCGTCACTTCTGGGTGATGTGCATGTCGCGGGGGTTCCCCCGGGGCCTGATCCGGCGGTGGCTGGGAATGGGCCTCTGGGGCAGGGTTTTCCCCGCCCCCCGGGGGGACTTGGGAAGCCTAACTGGAGCCCAAATAGCATCAATCGTCCATAAAAAAGCAACAAAGGTACTAGTAGTAGCCCATCTCTCAGAGCAATTAAAATTTGTTCACAGCAATGACAATTAGCCCCCATCAATTAAAGCTTTCCAGTACTATTGAGATGGAATTTCTCCTGTGCAAGCCTCTTTGAAATGGATGGGAGCTCTTGGTCTTCTTTCATTCATTCCAGTGAATGTTGGGTAGGAGAATTTCCTGCAGGATTATGCCTTTAGCTGATTAATGTACATCTTAAGCCAATTAAAGGATGCAGCGATAATAATAATAATAATAATAAAGACAAATAAATAACATGGAAAATGTGTGCTTGCTTCAGTGTGTCGCAGCTCAGAGAAGATATGTATGCTACAGTCAAGATTATCACCCCCCCAAAAAAACTTAACTCTTAACTATGTTGGTGTAATTATTCAAATGAATAGAAATGAGTACTCAACATACTCATTATTTAAATTGGTGGGTCATTCTCAGTTGTAGGTACTTTACCAAACCAAAAAGAAAAAAAAATGCTGCCGAAATAAATAGAAACCTCCAAAGGGCAAACGAATTAAGGTTGCCACCTTTCCCAGAGGGGAATAAAAAACTGTCAGAGCTCATTTGCATATGATTTATTTAAGCATTTGTCCATTAAAAAAAAAATTGCCGTTGACTAGGATTGTCTGGGTGACAAAAATGGTCTGGTCAGCTGACAATTAATCATGTTTTTTAAAACTAAGAAATAGTTCACTGCATACAATGCTATCAGTAAGAGGGGAAATGTTTCGTCTGGAAAGCTAGTTAAGTGGCCAAGAAGCACATATAATCATTATAACGTAGTGAAATGCCTAACTTTATTTATTCATTTAGAATATTTCTATGCCGCCTCTTCAGAGTCCTGCACAACAAAAATTTATTTTCAAGCAGCATAGCTCAATCCTATGCCCATTTAGACAGAAATAATTCCAGATCAGTGCACATAATAGTATCAATGAGAAAGGATGCCTTTTCCAGTGGGCTTGTTCAGAAGCAGCATTCCTAGCTGAAAGCTAACAGTCTTTGACACACCACAACCAGCTCTCGATTTCTGAATGCTTCTTAGCTTCAGAAGAAGAAAAAAGATAGAGCTGGGTCTTTCTCTACTAATCATTTTGGAAAAGAATATGCCAAATTGCCAGAACAAATTAACAGAAGCAGCATTCCTAGCTGAAAGCTAACAGTCTTTGACACACCACAACCAGCTCTCGATTTCTGAATGCTTCTTAGCTTCAGAAGAAGAAAAAAGATAGAGCTGGGTCTTTCTCTACTAATCATTTTGGAAAAGAATATGCCAAATTGCCAGAACAAATTAAGTGATTTGC